TTAAAACTTAAATAGCCCTAACCGGTTTGGCTCAGTGGATAGAGCGTTGGCCTGCAGACTCAAGGGTCCCAGGTTCGATTCCAGTCAAGGGCATGTACCTTGGTTGCGGGCAAATCCCCAGTAGGGGGTATGCAGAAGGCAGCTGATCGATGTTTCTCTCTCATTGATGTTTCTAACTCTCTATCCCTCTCCTTTCCTCTCTGTAAAAAATCAATAAAATATATTTAAAAAAAAAAAACCTTAAATAGCCTGGTCTTCTGAAGTCATAAACATATAAGCAGTGTCTTGAAAGATTAAGGCTAGCAAACCTCTTTGTGCTCATCAGCTTGGTTCCCTTTAGCTGTCCTGGACTTCTGAAGGGGGGTCACTTTACCCTGGTTTGCATTTCGGAACAGAGCTTCATTATGACAGCACACTGTTTCTCAGGTGCTTCCTTACTCTACCACTCCGCAACTGAAGCAAGGCAATTCATACATCAAGATTCAATATTCCAGTCATGAAAAAAAACATGACTAAGAATATTTCAATAACCCCTTTCCAAGCAAAGTTCAACTCTCCAGCAACACAAATATAAATTGCTTACTAAAAATGTGTGTGTGTTTTAACATTGGTTCTAAGATTAAATAACCACAGGGTGGTTTGAGATTTAATGCAAGCCAGAAATACCCACGGGTGAAGCAGTAAAGGGTAGTGATTGAAAGCACAAGCTGGGTTTGAATCCTGGCTGTGGCTCTCCAAGCTGTGTGGATTTACGTGATCTCTGTATCTTCTGGAAAATGGGGACAACAAAAATCCTTCTGCAGAGGAGTGCTGTGGGGATAAAAAGGAGAGGAGGCAATAAAAGTGCATAGTGCAATGCCTGGCACATAGGAGACACACACACACACACACACACACACACACACACACTTTAATCCTTACCCAAGGAGTGAGGATATTTTCCCCATTGATCTTTAGAGAGAGTGAAAGGGAGGGAGGGGGGGAGAGGAAAGAGAGAAACATCAGTGTGAGAGAAACACATCAATTGGTTGCCTCTCACATGCCCTTGACAGAGAATAGAACCGGTGCTTTAACCACTAAGTAATACCAGCCAGAGCAGTAATCAATATATTTTAGTTATTATTATTCTAAAATACTATGTAAAAATGTAGTTTATTTTTACTATGTAGGACATAAGGGAAACATTCCTAAACATATTTTAAAAATGAAAAAATAAATGAATTCTTTACCAGTATATGATATAAATGTTTTCTTTATATACTTCATTTATTTTCTTAGGGTATTGCAAAGGCTTTCTATGTTTTTAAAACTACAATTCATTGTAAAAGCAATATTACAGTTATTAAAAAAAAAGAGAGATGTTGATTAAAAGATCTTATGAGTGAACAGTGAAGAAAAATAATGTCCATGTTTTTGGTTAGGACAACTGGAACTTGTTCCTTACCACCTATTAATTACTTGTAATTATACTTACAGCACTGCAGATTATACTGTCACTGGCAGTCTCACAGACAGCAAGACAGTTTTAATAAACCTGAACTTCAAAAAGGATAAGTATGTAATGAAGTGGGAGCTCTTAAATGTTCCAAGTTACATCTTAATTGGTTCAACCCCTCTGCCAAGCAATTTGGCAAATTGGTAGTCATCAAAAGCCTTAAAACTGTAAATACCAATGGACCCAGAAGTAATCCAAAAAGGTTATACCTGAATATATTAATTGTATTCTTTTTTCTGTTCTTTCTTCATTTTTTTTTAGGGGAAAGCATTACTGATATATAATTGGCATTTCATACAATTCACCCATTTAGTGTACAACTTAATGGTTTAGTACAGTGGTTCTCAACCTTCCTAATGCCGCGACCCTTTAATACAGTTCCTCATATTGTGGTGACCCCCAACCATAAAATTATTTTCGTTGCTACTTCATAACTGTAATTTTGCTCCTGTTATTAATTGTAATGTAAATATCTGATATGCAGGATATATTTTCATTGTTACAAATTGAACATAATTAAAGCATAGTGATTAATCAGAAAACAATATGTAATTATATATGTGTTTTCCGATGGTCTTAGGCGATCCCTGTGAAAGGGTTGTTCGACCCCCAAAGGGGTCGCGACTCACAGGTTGAGACTCACTGGTTTAGTATGTTCAAAATCATACAACCATCATCACATTGATCTCAGAACATTTTCTTCAAAAAGAAACCCAATAGCCCTAGCTGGTTTGGCTCAGTGGATAGAGCATTGGCCTGCAGACCAAAGTGTCCCAGGTTTGATTCTGGTCAAGGGCACATAGCTTGGTTGCAGACTCCTCCCTGGCACAGGCCCTGGTCAGAGCACATGCAGGAGGCAACCAAACGATGTTTCTCTCCGTCTTTCCCTCTCCCTTCCACTCTCTATAAAAGATCAATGGAAAAATATCCTCGGGTGAGGAGAAAGGAAGGAAGGAAGGAAGGAAGGGAGGGAGGGAGGGAGGGAGGGAGGGAGGGAGGGAGGGAGGAAGGAAGGAAGGAAGGAAGGAAGGAAGGAAGGAAGGAAGGAAGGAAGGAAGGAAGGAAGGAAGAAAGAAAGAAATGACAGAATGAAAGAATAAAGAAAGAAAGAAACCCAACACCCTATAGCTATCATCCACAATCCTATTTCTGCCCACAGTCCTAAACTCTTATCTACTTTCTGTGCTACAGATTTGCCTATTCTGGACATTTCATGGAAACAGAATAATTATGCTTAGTGAAAGAAGCCAATCACAAAAGACTGTATATTATATGTTTTCAACGGTCATCCATGTTACACCATATATCAGTACCTCTTTTTATGGCCAAATAATATTCCATTATATAGCTATACCACATTTATCTTTTTTTTAAAATATATTTTATTGATTTTTTACAGAGAGGAAGGGAGAGAGATAGTTAGAAACATCGATGAGAGAAACATCAATCAGCTGCCTCCTGCACATCTCCCACTGGGGATGTGCCGGCAACCCAGGTACATGCCCTTGACCGGAATCGAACCTGGGACCCCTCAGTCCGCAGGCCGACGCTCCATCCACTGAGCCAAACCGGCTTCGGCAGCCACATTTATCTTATACATCCATCAGCTGGTGGACATTTGTGTTATTTCACCTTTTGATTATCATGAGTAATGCTGTTGTGAACATTCATGTACAAGTTTTTATGTGTTCATGTTTTCATTCCTCTTGGCTACATGCCTAAGAGTGTATTTTATATTACTTTTATTGGAGTTAAAATCATGGTCCAACAATGTAACTATGCTACACTCTCAAAGGTATTATGCAGAAATGCCACATTCTCAAAGAGTATTGCACAGAAAAATGTTGGCTTTGTAGAAAGAAGAGCACATAGTAAAATGGAAAAAAGGCTACACAAAGTGAAAAAAGCAGGATGCACAACCACTTAAAATCCTTCCTGGGCTGCCCACTCCCTGCTCTGTCCTAGGGCCCTATGCACCTCTGCTCTCTCCCCCTCAGCTCTCTGAGGGCCAGCTATACTACCTTTCAGAGATTTTCAGACTGTCTCAGCTTCAGAGCCTTTGCAAATGTTGTTTCCTCTGCCTGTATCACTCTTTCCCCACTTCTTTGCCCAGTGGTTTCAAGTCTCATCTTAAATGTCACTTCCTCAAAGAAACACTCTCTTATATCCCTAACTAGGCTAGGGTGAAGTGTTTCCATAGCAGCCTGCAATTTTCCATCTTAATACTTCTGATACTTGTAATGGTTTATTCAGCCAGTAATCAAACACGGAGAGCCTTTTACACGCAGGGATAAAGAGTGAAAAGCATGGAGGGTCCCTGCCATCCAAGACCTTATATTCTAGGGAGGGAGGACAATGTACACGTAAACAAATCAATATACTGGGCAATTTTAGATAATGATAATTAGCTCAATGTCTAGATTGTAACCACCATTAAGGCAGGAGCTCTTTCCATTTCTGTCTCGGTTACTTCCAGTTGGGTAGAGCTTAGCACTGAGGCTGGCCCGCTGAATAAGCTCAACACAAGTTTGTTCAATGCCTTCAAATAGGCATATAAAAGACAAATGACAAACACAACGAAGACTACGTCTGTAAGTAATTGAGTAGGAGTCTTTTTCCCTTTTTCAAAACTTTCTGTAATTCTAAATATTTTTTATAATTAAAACAAAAGATGAGCCAAAATTACCATAGGTGAGTAAAAGAGCCCCAAATAAAAAACACATTGATATGTTGCCACACACTTGTTAAACACCTGGCACTAAATCCAGTCTGAAATACTCAGACGGGTTGGTTACGTGGATAGAATTTCCTTGGCGCATTACCAAGTAGGTTCCCGGCCTTCGGCAGTATAATTTACCGTCTTAAAAGAGGCCTTCAGCAAAAAGATGCTTAAGGAGATGATCACCCAAATTTCCCCATTTCTAAAGCGCTTGAGAATCTCCCCCCACCCAGGATGTGGCAGACAAAACACCGCAATTCTTTCTACACGCCAATGATAAGAGAACGCAATTGTTTCTGCGAGGTCAACAAAGAACACAATATCCTTACACAATATATATTCTCCTACCCGCCCCAGAGACAAGCGAGCTTGGAAAAGCCCAGGCAGCTCTGGCTTCGGCCCGAAGCAAGCCCACCCCCAAGCGGAGCGCGCAGCTCCTTTCTTCCCGGGACGCGTGCGCAGCGCACTCCCCGGCCGCCGCCGGCGGAGCTGAAAGGGGCGCTGACGTCACCGCGCGGAGGAACACCCGCTCACCCAAGGAAACGAGTCCGCGCACCTGGGATTTCCCTAGCCCGCAGGAGATGTTCTCTCTCCTTTTGCCCCAGTGCCAAAGCTTTCCCAGCTCCTTTCCAAAGACCTAGCTTTTTTCCCGGATTCTTCTGTTCGCTGCACGGGGAAGGAAAGGGGGGTAGGAAGAGAGTCCTATACAGTGTTGTTTACAAGGCGGGAGCTGGTTTAGGGATCGGTCCGCGAGGGCGGAGCCGAGGGAGCCGGCACTTCTTTCTCCCTCTCCTCCCTCCCTAGCCTTCCCCGCGAGCGGACGCGGCAGCGCCTCGGTCTCGCTTTTTCTTATTTTCCCCCCCTTCCCCTTCCTTTTTTTTTCTCCTTTTTTCCCCTTCCTCCCTTTCACCATTTCCCCTTGGAGGCGCTTCCCCCGGGCAGGGGCAGAGCCGGTCTCCCTCCCCGCCTCTCCCCGGCCCCCGCCGCCCTATGGAGAGAGGGAGCCCCCTCCCCACCCGGGCACTAGCGGTGGCCGTCGGAGGAGCGAGACCGGCGCTGGCGGCCTCAGGTCCAGGGTCGTCATGGAACTGATTCGCTGACCGACCCACCGGCTGCAGCCGTGCGTCCTGCTCGAACCCCAGTGCCCCCGGCCCCCGGCCCGGTTCCCCCCTCTTCTCCCTCCTCCGTCGGCCCGGTCCTGGTCCCGCGCGCCCCGCCGCCGCGCGCCGAGGAAGATGAGGTGGTAGCGGGGCCCCCGGATGACCCCGCGTCACCACTGCGAGGCGAAGAGCTCTGCCCGGGAGGAGGAAGAGGAGGAGAAGGTGAGCGGGCGGGGCGGGGGGCTGCACGGGTCTCCGCCACCCGCGCGCGCGCGCCGCCCACCGGGGAAGCTGCGCCCGCCGAGGGTCCCCCCCC